GCTTAGCATGCGAGAGGTATTGGGATCGATGCCCAACTTCTCCAGTCGTTAAATTTTTTTGCAACAAGATTCTCAAATTATTTTCTCATATATGCACGTAGATCAGAACTGCCTGTAGGCCGAGTCAGGTCCAGTGATATTTTTGTTTTTTCAAATCGATTATATCAACAATATCGTATTTATATTTCTCATGTTTTAATAGATCACATATTCGCTCACTAGAGTATGATACACAGTTTGACAAAGATGAATTATTGATATTTGGTGGCAAAAATGATGAAGCATATGTATGTGAAAATAGGAAGATGATGAATCATTTGTATTTGATGATGTAGAGGCAGATAGAGCAGGAGAAGTGGATAAAATATGAATATCATCAATTGACATTGTTTATAAAATACATGAGACAGAAAAAGTTGAGAAGTGATGGTAATGTTCAATTGATGTTACTTATTCAAATTGGTAACAATAAAAATGTACAAAACAAATATTTTCTATGTTCGGACTGAATAAAATCATAGTTTTCTTTTTTTAGATTAAAATAAAATTAACTGTTCCTGTTGTCTTATCTTCTTTATTCATAAAATTTGTGTACTATAGCGGACTAAAAATATCCACCAATTATAAATAATAAATTTAAATGTGGACAAAATCATTGGTTTGTATTGCCATTCAATCTTTCAAGATGATTAATAGAGGAATCAATATAATTGCTCAGACAGGCCAACAGCTTTGACTTGGCGTGACCTGTAACCAGACGAGAAACATTCGGTAGACGGAACAGGTCAGGCAAAATTTCCAGTAATCCTCCTGGGCAGGAGGCCTAGCCTGGCAGGCCATCATGCGTCTGCAAGGTGCCAGGCCATGCCGACAGCTATAATGTAGGTTAACAATAAATATTGCAAGAGTAACATGAGGATGAAGTTCATATGGAAGAACACTCGCCTTGCAAGCGAGAGGCATTGGGATCGATACCCACCTTCTCCAGTGAGTCAATATTTTTGTCTGGAAATCATAAAATGGGATTCTCATATCTTGATGTAGATGGACGGTTTATGTCTTAACTCTAACATGAAGATGTAGGTTATGTGGGAAAGCGTTCATTTAGGATGCGAGAGGCACTGGAGTCGGTGCCGAACTTCGTCGATTCTCTTTTTTGAGACTAAAGATAACCAAAAAGTTGGACAAAGTATTGTTTCGTGGTTGAAATTTTATTGATGTTGTATAAATTGTACTGGTATGAAATATGATTCATTAAGTTCTTTCGATTTTGTTGGTTTAGGCTTTCTTTGTTTTTAATTAAAAATTATTTATGATTATTATTCTTTATAAAACAAGCGTTGAATATTTTTCATGATTGCGTTATATTTCACTGAAATCGTTAATTACATGAGCAATAACTTTGAATATGGACTGATAAATCTCTTTGTATGATGGCATTGTGTATTTGATGAACGCTTATCAGTCAAATCAAAAGATATAGTGTAATTTTGATTTACGTTTTACATATTTGTTTGGGTGTATGCACGTAGTATTATTGTGATAGAGATTATATCCATTATTTTATTGAAATATATAATGCATTATCGTTAAAGATACATTTAGTATTGTCATTAAAGTAATTTAGTTAGATCAAAACTAATAAAGTAGATTTTCTTATCATATCGTTAAACGCATGATATGTATGGGTATGGATATCTTATTTATTTTACGTTGATACGCATGCCCAGTTCAAGCACTACACCCTCAAAATTAATTTTTAATTTTTGAAATATTAGTAAAATTTCTTTTGATTTATTTTGTATAATTTTAATTCTTATATCGATTAAAAAAAAGAATTTTGAAATTGAATTTCAATGACTAATATAAATATATTTTTCTTAAAGTTGATTACAAATTTAAATTTAACTGAAGACAAGTATCAAAAATCATTTTTAAATTAACTTTCATGTTTTTTCATAAAAATTCTTTTTATTTTTCATTTAAAAAAGACAAGAAAGATTTTTACTGAGGGTATAGATGTTGTTCAACCACATCCACCCTACTTTGATCAACACCCTTTTTAGCGATATTTAATAGTTTCTACATCTAGTCGAAACTATAGATGGTATAGCAAAAATCTTTTTATTTAATATCATGTAGAGCTTTCAGCGCGAATTGTTTTAACGATCATTCTATGTATGTATATGATCGCTAAACTATAAAGAAAAATAATTGTCAAATTATTAATGAATAGAATGAAGGAAGTATCATAAAATAAATTATCATCTGAATGACTATCATTTAGAAATTAAATTGTTACTCATTCTTGTAAATTAAATATTACAAACTTTTCTTTTTCTTTTATAATCTATTTTCAGTAGGCGTTTTGTCAGTTATATAAAAAAAGAATGTAATCGAAAAGTAATTATCAAATATCTTTTCTTTCTTTTATGAGTGTTTAATTATTTTTTTAATAACATTGTAAAATATGCAGCAAAAGAAGAGGGATGTTAATCAAATAAACATTTGTGGAAAAAACAGTCGCATAGGTGAAGTAGTATAGTATGCTTTGGATAGTGGTAGTTTTTTCGTTGTTTTCTTTCGTTGATTCGATTATTATTGGTAAAATAGATAATCATATTATGATTGGTACGATGATTAAATTTTTATCGAATTCATCTCGTGAAAATTGTATATGTGAAATGATACAATCCAATACATTAATATCTGCCATCAATTATTTTTCACAAAATCAAACTTGTCAATTATTTTCTTCAAATAATAACTCAATGATCATTGAATATCAAGTTAATTCTACTTTAATATTTATTAATCAATCAATAATTTCAATTCAAACAAATAGTAAGTTATAATCTGTGAAATTTAATGAATTTCGAACATATTCACTCTAATCTCCACATAGAAATCATTTATTTTAATAATATCAACTAAAACAATTGTTTTCATGTGTTTATTTTATTTTTAGGCATTTCAGCTTCGATGACCAGCTCAATGTAAGACTTAATAAAATACACATAAGCATCGATGATAGGTTTCCATATAATTTAGCCCATCAACTACTACTAGTGGGACGACAAGACCCTCAACTACATTCACGACAATTAGTACGACAAGAAGCTCAACCACATTCACGAGTGGTAGCACGACAAGAAGCTCAACTGCTTCCACAACTAGGATCACTACCACAGGTAAACTAGATATAGTTGTTTCATAGCGAACTTATTATCATAATGATTCAAAAAATAAAAACAATCAAAATAGTACAGATATATCTCTATATAATTTCTGTCGAAAGAACGATTATATTTCTATAAAATTGCAGAAGTCGCGAGTGTATATAACCTACTTTATTTGTCATTTATTGCAGAATGCTAATGAAGTACCTGTATTAAACAAAAGAATTTTTGTTTATGATCACTTTATAAGATTGCTATTTTAAAAGATGATATCTACATTCTTTTCTGCAATTCTGTTTTAGCTCCACCATCAACTATTTGTGTGACTAATAATAGTGCAACTCTTCATAATAATCAATTTATCTATTCACCAGCAACACAAGCCTATGCTGCCGGAATGTTAAACAACACATTTGGTATCTATAAAGCATATGGATATCAAAACGTTACTACAAGTGCAATTTGGAGAGCAAATCAGATTCATAACTCATCTGTCGAATGTTTTTTAAACATCCAGACAGATCGTAATCTAGTTGTTTATACAACAAACCTTGCTGTAATGTGGGCAGCTAGTGTTCCTAATAGTGGTTCTGGAGACCCATTCTGTTTGAAAATGTTAGATTCTGGAAATCTGATATGGATTGATCGAAGTGCAACAATTATTTGGCAAACAAATACTGTACAAACCGGATAGCTTCCTCCTATACTATTTCGAATATGAATAGATTAAAGAAACTCTATTTTCTCATATATAAGAAATAACCTGTAATTAGGGATACATTTTTTAGTTTTGCTAAATTTAGCATGCTAAGTGACATATTTGTAAGTTAATAATAAATTGTAAAGAGATTGATAATGAATGAAACATTTTTTTTTGACTGACAAAATGAATAGTAGGTAACGGAACGTTTCACTAATACAATATGTTTTATTTGGTAGCCATTTGTTGGAAACTAAATAATTGATATTCATTTTCTTTTTCTACTCTGTGAAGACTTCCGACAAAATGCATGTGTAAGTATTAAAAAAAGTTATTTATATCAATTCCTGTTTTTTTGTTAACAAACAAATGCACTGAAATGACGTTTTTTAATTTTATCGTTTCACAAGTATAGTCATTTAAGTTATATATAACTTGGCAAATCTTTCACCATAGTTTTACATTCAAATTGATTGTTCAAAAAGAAGAGAATGTTTTTATTAACATTCATTCTTACATCAATTATATATTCACTTCATACAAGCTAACAGCTACATCAGAATTTCGTGACTATTCCTGTAGTAAAATCAATCCTCTTTTGGATTGTTCTGCTGAATATGAAAGATAATTATAGCTTACAAGTTGAGGCTGAGGGTTAGCAATCTAGTGCTCAAAAATTGATGATCTACTGTAAACTGTTCGTGAAATGCAAACAATTTTTGATCAGACTTGTATTTTTTGTGCTGATCACTTACCAGAACGTGGATCATGTCCATCCGGTTATGTTGTAATGAACTGAAGAGTTCATTTTAGTAATAGGTTCTGATCATGGTGCTTATAAACAATGAACTGGAAATTAATGATACATTTTTAATCCGTAAAATAATTAACGCTCTATATATATTCAAATTCTTCCTCTTATATTAATGATATTTTTTGTGTTCATTATTATAACTCGATTTTATCGATAAAGAATAAATGTTTCTCCAAGGTCACGCAAACATTGTTTTATAATATATGTAAATATTTGTGATAAGAATAATAATGCTTTTCTCGTTGTTTCGTCTTTCTTTTATAATGATCAATACTATTTCTGTATTTTTAATATACACTTGTCGATGCGACTCGCTTGATCCTCAACTGATATTAAATTTTATCATTGTGAGATATTAGTTTATTTCATAACCGAACGTTAATTCATATAAAAAAACATATATACATTCCAACACATCCTCTCTAACTCAGAATAACAAAAAATGGAAGAGAAACAAAAAGACAAACATGAGAGAGAAAAGAATGTATCATGCGCACAGCACATGACAATTATCATATATCACTACTTGTTCAAATCTGTTTTGTAAATTATCTCTAAACTAAAGCGCCGCATACAGCTCGAAGTCGACGCCGCTAGTTCCCATTGCTCGATTGTGCATACGATCAGATTCTAATTATGGTTTGTTTAATACATTCTTGAGGACCAAACAAAATTTTTTAGAAATAAGTATTTTTTAATTCGCAGTTTAACTAGAAATTCTTTTCGTACTTAATAAAAGGATCTGAAGTAATTAGACCAACATTGTTTGCGATAAAGTCAGATGGGTCCGTGGAGATGTGTAGCTAAGTCACACGCACATACTTAGACTATAATTATTAGTCGAAAGAAGTAGTTAACATTAACAAATGTATAGATAAAATCGAACTTGTTACGTAACAGAATATGAACAGAAATTATTTATTAGGTATAAATTTCATCAATAAAATTTTAATAAGAAACGAAAATATGATTGAAGAATAGAAATAATAGATTCTTTTAATATTTGTTATCAACACAGGTAAGAATTAAAAGACGCTTATGACATAATTGTTCTGCGAGAAATTTAAATAGAGAAGTCATGTTTTCAACATATTCTCTCAAAAGAATATTTTCACAAAATGGTAACAACAGAATTATTCAAGTTCTTTAGAATAAACATGAAAAGCGTTTTTTATCTTTTCTTTTCATTAATATTTTTCAAAATATGACTTGGAAATGAAGCGTTGAAAACAGATTTTTCTAACAATGAACATCGGAAATAAAGTGGTTTGTCATTCTATAAATTATCAACTAATGAAAAGATTTCGTCGATTTAACCAGACACTTTTTTTCATTCTTCATCCTGCAAATTATTTTTGTGTTTGTTTTGTCTTTTTACTTTGTCACCTGTGATATCGATTTATTAGAGAAATATATTTCACTGCGTAAGTGTAACTATAAATACACTCGGAGTGAGTAAAATAGTGATTCACACTCTCACAATATGCCTCGTTTCTTTGATATGGACATTTGATCTGTTCTTTGTCGAAACTATCATCTGTTTTATAAAATTATATACATAATAAGCTCATGAAATATATTATTCATCTCTGATATTCATTTGAGAACGATTACTCATACGTTACCATCCGGATACATGAGGTTGGGAGCAACAAATGATTAATATTCTTCATATCTGTATGTATATCCAGCCTTCTTCGATGAAAATATCTAGTCAGTCGTACCAATAATGATGGTCTTTCATCAATCATGACTCTTTTTCAACAACCGCCATACAATATCATTTCGAAATATTACTACAGCTTATATGTTATGTGGTGAATGATAATATATTAAGAAGTGTAAATGATTAAATAGTTTGATTACATTTAAAAAAAATTATAATTCAATTCACAAAAGAAACTGTCATTCTGTCTATATTGATTAATATAGCTCAGCACTGTTGAGAACACCAGCACCGCTACCTTGTCCACCAGCAACTAATACTAACCCATTTGCTAATATGGATGCTGTGTGATAATATCGTCCGATATTCATGCTTCTTGTAGCTGTCCAAGTGCCTGTTGATGGATTATACAATTCAGCACTATTGAGAT